ATTGTAAATTGTACATGAACTTCATGGACACCCTGTATATGCAACTATGTATGCTGCTTTTAAAAATTTCTCTTTGTGGCATTTACTCCATGTCCCGGGGTCTGCCTCCAAACGGGAGTAGTTGGAAATTGTGCAGGAGTAGCAGACCTGGCACCATTTACAGCTATTTGGTGGTTAGTCCAGGTGAGTTTCTAGCTGTCAGGATGGGGAGGGAAAGTGGGCTTTGCTTCCATTTTAATCCCAAGAGTGAGCCTAGAAGAGTGGCACTTGGAGGGGAATGGTTTGTGGTGGCCGTGACATCATAGAGATCGGACCTGTTTTCTCTTTGATAACTTGTGATGTTGGAGGGGGGTGAGTTTGGGGAGCACATTGACAGCAGGCACTGGTGGCTTCTTTCCTTCCTCCCTTACCTGGCTCTTGGTGTCGTCCCCATTGATCAGTTACTGACAGGCAGTTGCTCCAGATAGGGTTGTTGAGTCCTGTGCCTCTCACCCATGGGGCTGTCTGCTTGTTTTGCCTTGTAGAAACTCCCGGGGGAGGAGGAAGAAGAGAGCAATACCAGCAAGGTGCCCACTGTTGTGTCGGAGGATCACCTCTGAGAGGGAAAGGTGGTGGTGACCCAGGGGACGTGAACACCCCACCGCTTCCTCCACCACAAAGGCCTTCGCTGGAGAAGCTTTTGGAGGGAACCAGCTGGAATATTTGTGGCTTGGACGATGGTGCCTATGTCTCCTGGAACCCACTCAAGAGCTCGGATGATTTAGTAGGGGAAAATTGCACCTTTCACCAAATGCAGTTTCAACTCTTGCCTCCACCCTTTTTCGGGTCATGGGAGCTGGTGTTAGTTAGAAAGGCTAGTGGAGAACATTGGAGTCAATCCTAGCTTGGTCCCTTGCCTTTCCTTTCACTTCCATCCCTTATGGAGAATGATTGCAAAATTATCACGGGAAGAAAGCTTATTCAGGATATTAACTTTTTCTAGTGCCTTCAGACCCTCCGACAAAGCCCAGTTGTAACACTGAGGGTTGTTCCTGGGTCATCAGTCTGACCATGTTCTGTGTGGGAGAGGAAATTCCATCAGAACAGCTTCACGAGAATAGCTCCACTGGGACTCTGGGACCTAAATTCTCCTGGCCTAGTGTTGGGATCTATTTCCAAACCTTCTTTCCTAAGAGATAATCAAACCAAACATCAATAAACTTACAAAAACTTCATGGTGGCTGTGAAGGAGAAACTAATTTGGGAGGGCTAGCTACCCAGGTGTGATAGTGCTGGGGGCCATCTTCCAGGTATGTTTGTGGAGGCCAATATTTGGAAACTCTGGTAGCTTGATTGGGAATGGGAGGAAGGTTCTTTTTTATAAAAGTACTTGCCCAGGAACTTGTGTGTATCATAGAGACCCTCAGATGCCTTATCTGGATGCTACTTGGAAAACGCAGCCATCAGCCTAAATGCTTGTTTTATTTTGAGGGATCCCAACCCTAACCTTTACTGAAAACTAATCTTGATTCATTATCCTTTGACAAACCCAAGCTGCTCCTGAGAGATAAGAGGAAAGGGGTAGAAGGCAAGGTGCTTTGAAATCAAAATTCAATTTGCTTGAAATTCCCCATCTCTGTTGGGGAAGGAATTAGCACAACCTTAATCAGATAGTCTAAATTGAAAGGGATTCTCTTTAAGCCAACTGAAGCTGACTTCCTTTCCTGCCCTGTTTATGGGCTTTGGTAGTGTCTCTTGAAAAATAAGAAAAATTTTGGTAATTTCTCCTTTGCATCGAGCAGCTGTGATCATGACCACTGTGCCATCTTGCTTTGGCCACTGCCATGGCCTTGGCATATCAGGGCAGCCCATCAGGCTGCAGTACTGTGGTGCTTGGGCTACTGCCCCTCAGGAGAGCCAAGTGTGTGTGTGTGTGTGTATGTATGTGTATGTATGTGTGTACAGATTTGAGCAGTGGGTGGGAGGAACACACTGTTATTTAATAAAAGAAGTTCATGCTACTTTTAGTGGAAGGGGTGTGAGGGGTGGAAGGGAGATGAAACGATATGTCTTACTTTTTGGTAAGGAGATAGATGTTTACTCTTCCACCTCTCAAAATGTATTAATGCTTACTGAACCCACTGCTTTATTTTAAAAACAATTTGTATTTTCTATTTCATGTTTTAAGACAATAAAGATTGTCAAAGTGGTCTGCCTTATCATTTGGTGGGACAGAAATGGATTTTGGTAGTCTCCATACAATGACCACCCATTCCTGAGGACTGTGTCCAAGGTGTGGCAGAGGGCTGGAGGGGCAGGGGTCCAAGCTAGAGGAGCAGCAGCTATGGCCTTCCATAGGAGCACCTCCGTCCTCTGTTGGCATAGATGTCACCACGCTAGTGGAATATTTTTTAAAGATGAAGATGTGAAGGATACTGTCTGCCTACGTGGGGGGCTGCAACTCAGAAACCAACACATGACCCTGACCTCCTTCTGTACTGTGCTGGAATGTAACTGCTGATGGGAGTCCATTGTTGTTTCTGGCTCTGCCTCAAAGGCTGGCCGAAGTGTTTGTTCTAAGATCACGCCAGCTGCTCCCAGCTTGCTGTGGTCAGAGCCCACAGCTCAGCATCTGCAGCCCTGCATTATCATTTTTCTTCTGAACTGCCAGTCCTTCTCCAGCTGTGTTGACCTTATATGTCACTTAGATATGCTGCTGCTACCAGTTTTCTGTACATTATTTTCCTAGCCAGTTGTACTGTGCCTGTGGCATTCAGCTCCCACATTTATTAGCAATTCTTACTTGAGGAAAAACAATATTACAAGTCTATTTTAAGTCATCTGAGAGGGGACGCAAGCCTGGGCTGTTAAGACATCTAATATTGATAGGGTCTGCAAAATACTCTGTGTATGATTTTAGATTCTTTGGGCTCTTGCCTTTACTTATCTGGAATCACATTTCTGACACATGCCACAGACTTGAAGGACCCAAATCACCTTGTTTTTAT